TTTTTTTTTTGTTTTTTGTTTTTGTTTTTTTGCCAGTCAAAATGATGGGCAAGGCAAAGATTTGACTGGAAAACACTCAGTTTTGTCTGGAAATTGTCCAAAGACCAGCCATTATTTTGCCCTGACTAGAAAAGCAATGGTGCAGAGGCTCTGGCACCATCATCGATGGACCTACCAAAACCATGTGATATTATGGATAGGATTTAACCAATGGATGTCATATACAAGTATGAACAGAGCTATGATATGTATGTACATGTATCATCCACCACTTTCATACCACTGTAATTATCTTATACATCCATATGGTGCAATGGTTGTATGGTATGAACTGATGGTCAGAGGCAACACTTTGTTGTCACTGTTGGTAAGTGTTTTAGAGTTTAAAGCAGAAAGCACAGAACATCAAGAACATGAGAAACAAACTAGATATACGAACAAAGACAAAAATGAAGATATGCGGCACTACTTCACCAGGACAGTTACAACACACACCACAATTGGAAACTCACACTGATTACAAACACAAACATAGAATATGAAATGTGACTAATTTCGAACTGCCCAGAATGGAAGATTTTGTTTTTTAGTCCTTGAAGTAGACCTAGTTTCATCTTGTTTACTATTAATTACTGGCTTCTGTTGTTTTTCTTCTTCTTCTTCTTCCGATGAATCTCCTTCATAAGCTACTAAAGAACCTATTGCCGAAAAGGAAGATACTTCCTTTGGCACTTCTTTTTTTGCTTTCTTGGGCTCAGGGTTATCTGCTGAGGAAGACAATCCATGTTTCTTGGTACCTAACATTATGTACCACACAGAGGAGAAAGAAAATAGAGCAAGCAAAGATAATAATGAATGAAAGGCAATTATAATTATATCACCAGTGAGATCGGGTCCACAGACAGCAGCAGAGCAAGTGACATGAAAAAGAACAGATAACAGTCATTAGCAAAAACTGTTGTACATTTTGATATTTGTGTGTGCAGTAATAGTAAAGAATACGACCCCCAAATCAGTGTCAGTAGGTCATAAGCCAACGTCATACAGATGACCTACCAACAACCAACATGCTACCAACATTCTTACAAAAACCTACTACAGTGCAACTACAATAACTGGGGCCACTTACACAGTTAGCCAATCAAAATGTAGAATGAAAACAATGTATTCCAACTTTGGATAGTTGAGTCAATCAGTAACCTAGATTGCAGGAGAATGATAATTTGACCCTGATGTTACATGCACTGTAACTTACTGTCTATTATTTGATTGGTTTTCGCAGTCTAGGTGGCACCAGTTATAGTAGTTGCACTGTAATACCCTACCAACACTGATTTCTATATTGTTTACTATTACTATAAGCTACAATAAACTTGGAGCACATTCATTTTATACAGGGTTGCTATACACCTAAGTCCAAAATGGCGCACGGCCGAGTGTGTTACATGAAAACCAGGCATCCAGGGCCAAATGCAAAGAAATAACATAGTGTCAATGCAAAGTATACACTTGTTCACTTGTTCTGTCTTTCTTTTCTTCTTACTTTTACGAACGCGACAATTTTGCAGCATCAAATTATAAGAAAATACTGTAAATTTGTAAGTTTGGCCCTGGATGCCTCGTTTTCAACCAGTCCTACGCCATTTTGGATTTAAGTGTATGGTAAGATACAAAAAAGTATGTTTCTATAATAAACATAACAAAGATTATAATAATTTTTAATTATAACTTTATTAATTATAATTATTATAATAATTGTTTATAAAAAATACACTGTACAATGTACATATATTGCACAACTAAACTGGACCAATTTGCACTTTTCTATTCAGGTTTTATTACTTACCTGGTATGCTGGACTTTTGAGCACTTTGCTGTTTTCCAATAATTACTTTAGGGGGGAGGGGTGGTGTGAATGGCTTGGCCAATCCCAGTGGTTTTTTAAAGTCTTTTAGTATCTTAGGTTGTTGTAGCTTCTGTGATATGGGTGCTCCAGGGTGTGGTAGTGGTGGTGGCATTGAAGCAATATCATCTTTCTTTGGAAATTGTYGAGGAAGATCAGGATGTGGAAATTTCTGGTCTTTGTTGATACCTAAATAARATGCTTCTCTGCTAGACTCCTATAACAAATGCATTGTCAGCAGACCAAAAGAAAAATACAAGCACATGTCAACAAATGAATAAAACAGTAACTATAGGAAGACCTGGAAACAAGAATGGTTAGTAACACCAATGTCTTTGACCAAGTAACTCTGTGGAGATACAAATCCCAATCAGCAGAACAAAAGAACCTTACAGTGTTTGAAAATATACATGTAAGTCTAGGAAGATCTGTTGTATATCTAATACTGTAGATCTAGTGTTCCATTTGAAGCAATTTCAAATATTTTAATAGCTCAAAAGAGCAGCTGTGAATTATTGTCTCTACCAATGCAACAAAAAGCTTCAAATATGCACAAAGAATATGTCTTATTTTATTGGTGGTTATATTAATAGCGTAGAAATAAAGAAGCACCTTCATAGATGTCCTGGGCTGGGATAACTGCTGAGACTCACTGTGAGGTACCTAGATGAAAAGTGTTTGAAGAACAAGAGGACAACAGGAGGAGAAAATAGAAAAATAACAGCAAGTAAGTACAGGTCTCCGTCATACAGTATGATTATTAACAATATACTGTATTCATCAACTGTATTGAACATTACATACTTCTTTGAACCGACGCTTGYGAGGCTCTGGCTGTGGATTAACTGGAGGTGCCACTTGGTCTCTATTTGAAGATAAATTAAATCAGAAAAGATATACAAAACTATACAGTTTTGTAGATACTAGGGTAATTTTCATTGTGGCCATCATAGGTCAAATTAGAATTTACTCTGCGGAGTGAGGAAAACCAGAGTACCTGGAGAAAATCCCTCGAGGGACAAGACAGAACCTGGCCACACACAACACTACTCCCATACACCACTGAGTCTGAGAATAAAACTAGTTCGATTGGTGAGAGACAAGTGCTCTCATCGATGCACCACCCATACTTCCCTAATAAAATCAACTATAATTATGAATTAGAAAATTGAAGATATTATTTTTTCCACGGTCAAGTATTCTAAAAAGCGTGCGTTCTGAATGGCTGTGTGWGCATGCACTATTTCTTATCTCTGCCTGCAGTCTGGTATCCCCACGTAAGCCTTACACCATCAAAGCTTGTGCACAGATTGTTAAACAACAAAACAATAATTGCAAGACAAGTGGAAAACTAAATAGGAACAAGACAAATTTTATTTATTGGCTTAAAGTTGGACAGGATAGGGAATGACTGTGCTCTCTGTTAAAAACGAATCTTGGCCAAACTGCCTTGGTTTATACTGTATGCTCAATACCTTAGGCACAGTTTTTCCCTATCTGGACCTCCTGGCCAGTAAATATGTAGCATATATGTAAAGTTACCTCACGTTAAAATTAGTAATACTTGGTTCTTTTTCTGTAGGTGGCTGTAAAATTTAGATATAACACAAATAAGGATATTGTTTGTCTTGACATTTTCTATGCATAAAAGCAATGAATATTATTAATGTATAGAGTCACTAACCAGTGGACAAGGTTGATTCTCTGGAGGTGCTGATTGCTGAGGACTATTATAGGCTGCAGAAGGCAAATCAGGTCTTGGAGGATAAAGAACATTTGAAGGAGGATATGGTGACGGCCCAACATTCTGTGGTGGTGCAGTAGGCATTGGCGGCTCTGGGTAGGGAGGAGCTGTCAAGAAATAGCAATTAAGTGAGCTATGCAAGATTGTGAATATGTGTATAGATCATATAGCTCTAGATAGATAGATAGATAGATACAGTAGATTCGTTTACTGAGAACTTACATTGCATAAATTACAAATATATGATTAAGTAAAAAAACTCTCATATACAAAAAATTAAAGACATAAAAGAAAGCCACTTATGCAATCATGAAGAGATAAAAAACGAGCGCACGTGCTATGTTGAGTTATACAAGCACGCGGGAAATTGCGTGAGTCAGAGAGAAGTGCTAGGAGAAGCATGACTCTTTTATAAAATTACTAAGATACACACAATTGAAGAATCATTGACTGAAATGGCACAAGGGAATTGACATAATTATATTATAATTTTTAGAATGCCAAACGCGTATTGAAAACAGTGGATGATGCCACGGGTCGCCGGTCACAGCATGCATCTAATTAACGTACTTCCCATGTGCCATTTCAGTCTCAGCTTCTATGTTCTATGTTTCTGAACCCGACAACAATTCTTCAATTGAGTGTATGCTGTAACTGACGATTAACTCAAAAGAAATAATAAAAAAACATAAGAAACAAACAAAACATTGCTTGCATTGCTGACGTCATTTCCTCATGATCTATGTTGAGTTATATGAAACAGTAATTGACCGATCAGAGCACACATTATATCTTAGTTATTTTATAATGCATATAATACCATGGTTGCTAGAGACTGTCTTGCTCTAGTGCTTCTTGGTCATAGGTTTTATTTTTGTGAAAATAAAATTTATGTTTGGGAACAAAAAAAAAAACTGAAAAAGCCTATAACACCCAGTGTATGCACATTTAACTATTTCCATTAAGACTACGAGGCAGCAATTTTTGTACCTTGTTGATAAGGAGGAGCTCCATACCCTGGAGGAGGTATCATTGGTCGATGTGGTGGTATTGGTGGCTACAAAAGCAATTCAACAAAATCAGAAGGATGTCAGTATGCATATTTATTATATAATTACCAATGAAATATCTATTTTTCTCTATTTCAAAAAATTGATATCTTCACACGTGAAAATAACACCATTGCGATGCTTCAAAAATACAAGGAAAGAATTGCCTGAAAAAGCCAAAACATACTTCATTGATAATTATATAATAAACAGAATATTACATGGCCGCTAGGAGATAGGAATTTTATCTTCTCGTGTTGAAAATCTCTCACTCGTTCGCTACGCACAACTCGTGAGAGATCTTTTTAACACTCGAAGATTAATTTATCTCCACGYGCCCATGTAATATCCTCTATGTACTCAAAATTATTTTCACGGCCAAGGTTACAACAACAAAGATAAAGAAATTATTCCATTGCTATATATCTCCTACTTATGAGAAAGATGCAAGGCTGCCAACACAGGGAAAATAAATGCATAACCTCATACTTACCTGTGGAGGAACTGGAAGGGGATGGCCATAATGGGGTGCTGGTGGACCAACTGGTTGAGGAGGATAGCCAGGTTGAGGTGGGTGTATTCCAGGTGGATAAGAATATGGCTGCCGACAGAGATATAACATTACTATGATAGTTACCATTTTAAAGATATATACCTCTGATATAACTTGCAATGGAAATACTTTCTCTATTATTTCCACAGAGACAGGGGTGGATGTAACAATTTGTATACAAAGCTAAAAAGGTCTATTGCATTTAAATCTCAATCCTCACCATGTATCCAGGCTGTAGATACCCTGGAAAAATATAAAGGAAATCAAATTCAGAATAAGCTAGTCATACCTCAATTATAAGATTTATRTGATTGATTTGCCCCCTAGACGACCCAAATGCCTTGTGATCCAAGATTGCCATCATATCAAATAGTTCCTTGTTGGTTGTTGTTACATTCATAATAATTTGTCTTATCAACCATAGATTTAATAAATATGTTCCGAGCTTTCGTCAAAGTAGTCAAAGTAGTCCATTGGACCTTGTGTCTGGTCAAATCTTTGTCTTGCTGKTAATTTTGATCAGTAACATTGGCCAGAAATAAGGCCGCATGACTGAGCTAAAACTAATTTGGCTGGTCATCATGACGGGGGAGTGTCAGCTGTTATTTTTGCCATTAATTTTAGATTTTTCTTGATCAATTTCCACTTAGGTTATCAAATTACATGTYGTAATAAAGGAATGCCATTTGCTTAAATATATAGAGTATTGTTTGCAGTAAGCATATTACACACCTACTGTACTGGGTGCATAAAGTATTGTCTGCATAGGAAATACTGTAGGATGGCATAATAAATGGTGTGAATACTTAAACACAGCCAACTGATAAAGCCATCCATATTTGGAACACATTGTATTGTATTTATTTACCTGGGTGGGGTGGATAACCAGGGGGTATTCCTCTCTTCATTTGCTCAAAAGTTTGATATTCCTGGTTGACCTATAGTTTATAAGTAGACAAGTGAGCACTACTCTAATGACATATTTATAATCATGAATCTTGCATTCTAATTGGTTGGGAGCGCATGCTTTATGAGAGCACACAGCACGCACTTGCCCTTTGTATTTTATAAAAGAAATAAAAAACTTGCTTGCTGTGCTGTGTGGCTTTATAAAGCACTTGGGGATTGACAGAACACTCGAGAAGTGTCGAGAAGCACTGCACTACACGTTGTGCTTCTCCTAACACTTCTCTCGTGCTCTGCCAATCACCATGAAGCATACAGGTAGCATACACACGCATTTTCTATTTCTTCATTAGATTAAGTAAGTTGAATTGGTTGGAAGAATTATCATTGATAATCAATTTTGTCGTTCATTTTCAGTAATTACAATAAAAAAAGAACAAGAAAATTGTATGCAATAGCAAATCCTGATTATCTGAGGAAAAACAATTAGCCAATCAGATTGCAAATTTGTTCTTGAAAAATGAGTTAAATACTTAACTCTTGGCGAGGAAATAGCTGATTCTCCTCAAGATGGCCAATACAAAACTCAAGCGCCCTGACCTACTATGAGGTTGATTGGATTGATYCTTTTTGATAAAAAAATCATGTTTTGCACAACTAGTCACTATACCTGGCAGGAGGAGAATTGATTTAACCTAATACACCATATGGTTTGTGATGTTTAGAAACTGACGTTTCGGACGTTAGTCCTTCGTCGGAATAAATTTACTCATTTACTCCGACGAAGGACTAACATCCGAAACGTCAGTATACAAACCATACGGTGTATTAAGTTAAATCAATTCTCCTACTGTTCGATTCCAAACACCGACGCGGTTAACTAGTTTATCTAGTCTCTACTATACCTGGCAGTGTGTACTTATCTGTAATTACATGTACTTACAGTTTGTATAAGATTTTCCACTAGCTTTCTTGCTGCTGAAAGGCCATCTTGTTTTGTATGACTAATGACAATAATATAATAACAGTCAAAAAGTATATACCAGTAAATTATTCAAGGATATGTATAGATGCCAGTTGAACCCTACCTATTTCTAAAGCAGCATTAAATTTGATAAAGGTACTTTTAGGAATACAATTTAATAAGAATACTAGTTGTAAAAGACAACGTTTCGCTGTCATCTCAACAACATCATCAGGTCTAATGAAAACTGTTAACTGTACTATATGTAAATATAGCTAAAGTAAGTGTGAAAGTTTAATGAATAACAATGAAATAGATTATATCAAGTGGAAAAATGACAATAAAAGCGCATAACAATGAGAATCAAGTGAGAAAACGACAAAAGTCAAAAACAGAAAAAAGACATTTACCTTAAATAAATGTGAAGGGCCTCAAATGCTTCTCTTCCTGATGTGGGTTCTAAGAAACCTGATCCTTTGCCTCTTAGAAAAACCTGACCATAAATTTGAAAATGTTAACTAAAGCAATAACACATGGTAGCAAACATAGATTGAAACATTACCTTTGCTCCTGTTTCTGTACAGATATGTTGAAAAAAAGATCCCTATGAATAAGCAAGACAACAAGATAAGAAAAAAATAAAAGCAAATTTGTATCTAAAGTAAATTAGAGCCGACGATCTTTAAGCAAATGTTCTTATGTTGCATGTGCTGGCAATTGATCATGTTATTATGTCTGCATCATACAACACCTTAATTCATACATGTAGTTTAGTGTAAATAAAATGATACATACCCCCGGCCCTAATAACTTTTCTTTGACATTAAATTCTGGTGATGCCTGTTCAAGGCCAACAAATACTTTATCTTGAATGTAATGCATCTGAAACACAGTTCAATTGAAAAGGAAAGATAAGGTAAAAATAAAGGAAAAAAAAAAAAAGATAACATAAAATAAAGAATGCAAAGAATTCATGTAAGACCCTAAAGAGGATCATTTTACAAGATATTATTATTATTATTGTTATTATTATTATTATTAACTAATGTAATCATTATACTTTACAATGTATACCATTTCTACTCACCCCAGTAGGGAGTGTTTGGTTTTGTACTTGAGTAATTTGTGCAGTATTATTAGAATTAAAACTATTGTTTGCTGTAGAAATGGTAGGCTGGTAGGGTGACCATCGTGTATGGCTTGAAGTCTGCTCCGATGGTGGTTTGCCATAAATATCTTTCCTTTCCATTATCTCATGAATTCTTTTTAAAGCCACTAAATGATCAAAACAAAGCAGGAAGCATGAGAAATGAAAAATAAGCATACATTAATATGAAAAAGGAACAAATGGCAGGGTTCGAAATTAGCGATCGTCCAGTTGTCAGGGACAACTTAAATTTGCAAATGATGACTAGATTTTGGAATGTGGTTGTCCTTCTGACGACCTACGTTTTTGCCAAGGTGTTTTCTTTCATAAAAAAATAAAAGAGTCCGTAAAGTCTGAATGCAATTCTAAATTATATTTCTTCTGCTCAAAACCTAGAGAGTTCATTTTTCAACTGATAAACTTTCAAAAATTTAAGATAACGTATTCGTTGGAAGCCATTGAATATCGCTAGCAAATTTGATTGCATCTTCTGCATTGTAGCTAATGGCTGATCATTGTCATTCAGGCTCTACAAAATGGCGTCCAAGTGGGACTCATAAGTTTTGCTCTGGATGCCTAAGAATTAGAACATGGTTATCTAAGGGACCACTTAGTTCAACAGTTAATTTCGGACCCTGAATGGATGAATAGGAAAAACTCACATTCAATCTTGTTTTGTGTTGTTGCTTGTATATAAAGATACAAGGGCCTTTCTCTGTGAAATAAATGAGAGAAAGAACAATTAGAATTTTTACAAGACATGTATTATTTGAAAAATGTTATTGTTTAAACATCTAATTTTATAGTTACATTTCATATTGACATGCAATATTATATAATATAATACAGCACATACCCATCTTTGTCTATATTTTTCTTTTCTTCTGCATCCATGTATCGCCCTTTAGTAGATACAGCTGCACCACTATATCTATTTATCTAGAAATAGTATTATAGAGCAAAAAAATAAAATTTGTGAATAATACACAGTACATTAATTGTATTGTATTTATGTTATGGTACTACATCCTGTCTCCCCAATTATCAAAGCAATTGTGCCGAGCTATAGCATTAGAGACTTTAGTAAACTTTATTTTTAATTCTTACCTCATCTTGGGTAGTACCTTTACACAAAATAACTCTAAAAAGAACCAAAAGTAAAATAAATGATGGAAGTTTTTGGTTAGTTGTTTTATCTGTATGAGAAGTTTTACAACTACGTTGACATTATTACGAACCTTGCTGGTGAATCATTGACTTCTACTTCAGCATAAAGGAGATCTTGCTCTTTGTCAGCCTTTTGAGAAGACTGAACTGCTGTTTGTGACATCTAAAGAAACCCATAAAATACAGTGATAGTTTTATCAGTACGCCTGAATCTATGTGAAGGCTCCATGTTTTCAATCACATAACGAGCAACACAAACAGAAGACAAAGTCTAACTAGAAGATTTCATAACTTGACACTGTCAATAGAGCTTTCGTTATGTGTTTATATATTTCCTGTATTTTATCAATTCCAACCTTGACTTGGTTCAATTGTTTCGTGTTTACTCAAGCGAATCAGGGAAAGGTCTATTGATGAGCTGTTACTAGCCGTATAATGTACAGTTTCATAAGTAAAACATTGGATATCATGTGTTATAAAAATGTTGCTAGGTTCTCTTCCACTGTTGGCCATCCACAGAGACCAAAGTGGCTTTTTACAAAGCATTAATCTATCCTTTCTTATTGCTCAGAGATGGTATTAACAAACCATTCTAATTATCGAAGAAAAAGAAAGGATTCAAGCAGATGAACTCAATATGTTTTAATCATATTGGCATTGGCATCACAAGTATAACAACACTATTCAAAACATTAGTTTGTGGCTATTTGTATAGGAAATCGCACAATCTCGAGTACAATTTGGAAATTAATAGACACGAGTAATGTTTTGAAAGTTCTTGTAATTGCAGGAGCCTTTAGGCGAGTGCAATTAAAGAACTTTCAAAACATAACGAGTGTCTATTAATTCCAAATTGTACGAGAAGATTGTGCGATTTTTTGTTTATAGTTCACTCAACAAAATTTCAGTAAAAAATGCGAAGCGACGCCGTTCATGTTTGTCTATTTAGCGGCCGATTTTCAGTCCATCGCGCAACTGAAATGCATAAGAAAGATTAGTTCTTACGGCTTTAAAATTTTATTTATGTTTTTTAAGTACGAAATAATAGAAAATAATTGTTTTGACATTGTTTTGGCTGTGTTGCCATAGCGACTTAATTTGGTACTCCTACAGAGTACGATTAACGCTATAATTGTACTCCTATCGACCAATCAGAGTTGAGTAATTTTGTTGAGTGTACTATGAAACTCAGAAAAAAGGTTACTTACGACTGGTAAAGGTGCTCCAACATTACTAGCAAGCTTTCCTTTAGCAGCCAGCATTGCTGTAAGCTTGGCGGCTCTCTCTCTTGCAGCTTCTGTGGCTGACTTGTTTTTTCCATTACTTTCGGTAGCTACCTCTGTAGCAGGTATGTCCCACTTACTCTGCCTCCTGTATTAAACATAATATGGAATCTTAATGAAACGATTCACTTTGTATAAATTTGCAACACAGACCACTTCAGATGGCTGTATTATGGGGCCTTTTGATATAAAACTAAGTTAATCTAACCTTTAATTGCATAAGGCCAAAAAGGAACCTTTATGAAATCAGGGCTTAAAACGACGGCCAGTAGTTTCAGCTTGGTCTACCTTGTTACTGGTTCAACTTACTGGTCAAATTGACCAGCAAGGCAAAGATTATTTTGACTGGACAAGTACCAATATTCTAGCCAGACTTTCTCCAATACCAGGCATGAATACAGATGTAATATTGCTAGGTTCTCTTCCACTTACAGCCATTAATATAGACCAAAGTGGCTTTTTACAGAGCCTTTATCTATCCTTTCTTGTTATTGAGAGATGGTATTAATGAACCATTCCAAATGCCAATCAAAGAAAGGATATTACTTATTATTTTCATTTTTGGCGCTATATAAACAATAGTCCCTTTTACAGATCCCTGCACCATCTTGAAAGGTAGCCATGCCTTTGCATCGAAGCAAGACAAATGGTGAGCTTGCAATGATAGAGAACATTTTAAGATGGCACAGGGATATGTGAAGGGGACTATTTGAACATTAATTTTTTGGTTTGAGTGATCGTAGAAGGCTTCGCCTGCTTATCTTGGCGCCATTTTTAGCATCTTTCACAAAAATGTTAAAACTTCAAGTGTTTACAGCAAAAAAAGCATAATATCATAAATAGCATAAATATGAATTAATAATACATTGAAAAACCTTTTTTAACTTTCTAAAGCTTAAATTTGAGGGAAGAAGAGAAATTTTAATCTTAGAGTTTACCACGTTCAAGAATAACCGCGTGAGTGAGACAACATTTTTGGTAAAAAAAAACAAGAAAAATATTTCCGTTATGATAGTTGTTTTGGCCTAAAGTGGGTACCAAGTGATAAACTCTCTAACTGGATACTTTCTTGGTGTTTTAATGAGGGAGAAATAGCTCAGAAAGTTCAATTTTCGTATTATTTTATCTCATACCTTGGCATCTCGTTTCTTCTTCGTACCTCTTCGTACATCAATGAAACCCGCGGTGTATGCTGGAACTAGTATCCAGGCCTCGCATCGAGCCTGTAGTGGCGCGAAAAACGATTACCAAAAGCATGGACAGGAAATCAAACCTCCCTTCGGCGAATTCGTGGATAGGTACTAGTAGTCACATCAAAACAATCTTCAACAATCTATTGTTTAAACGCAAAGGATGATGGTCGTCGGACGGGGTCAAATCAACGCAAACTAACCGAAAATTGTTCTAAAATCCGTATCAATCCACGAAGAGAAGTAGAATAGCCAGAAAACGCTCAGAATATTTTTTAGTACATATTAACACATATTATATCTAAAAACCAGGCACAACCCTTTCTCAATCTCCTGGACTGCGAGTATTCCATCTAGACACAACCCTTTCTCAATCACCTGGACTGCGAGTATTCCATCTAGACACAACCCTTTCTCAATCACCTGGACTGCGAGTATTCCATCTAGATACAACCCTCTGTCAATCATCTGGACTGCGAGTATTCCATCTAGATACAACCCTTTCTCAATCACCTGGACAGCGAGTATTCCATCTAGATACTATTCTTTCTCAATCGCCTGGACTGCGAGTATTCCATCTAGATACAATTCTTTCTCAATCTCCTGGACTGCGAGTATTCCATCTAGGAACAATTCTTTCTCAATCACCTGGACTGCGAGTATTCCATCTAGATACAACCCTTTCTCAATCACCTGGACTGCGAGTATTCCATCTAGATACAACCCTTTCTCAATCACCTGGACTGCGAGTATTCCATCCAGACACAACCCTTTCTCAATCACCTGGACTGCAAGTATTCCATCTAGATACTATTCTTTCTCAATCACCTGGACTGTGAGTATTCCATCGAGCTACAACCCTTTGTCAATCACCTGGACTGCGAGTATTCCATCTAGACACAACCCTTTCTCAATCACCTGGACTGCGAGTATTCCATCCAGACACAACCCTTTCTCAATCACCTGGACTGCGAGTATCCCATCTAGACACAACCCTTTCTCAATCACTACTCGCGTGTGTTCGGAAACCTATGACGTACTTCGTTAACCCTAGCGTCTCTCAATTACCTGGACTGCGAGTATCCCATCTAGACATCGCGATCGTCCTTGTAACCGATAGGATGGAAAAGTTCAACACCATCTATAATGAAATTTATTAATAAGAGTAAGCTTTGTCCTTTCAACTATTTGTGTAGTATAGGTTAATGCCGTCTAGAAGGACAAATACGGCATTTATCAGAGTAACATGTTAGTTTTAGYAGGTATACTATTTAGGTCACCCATCTAAGTGCTAACCCTCCCCAAACGGGCTTGACTTTGGAGGTTATTTGGGATGCCCGAGTTTTCCCCACTGGGCCACGGTTTCAGCAAATTAGCACAGCAAAAGCCATGAAAACAATGCACCAAATAGACTAGACTTTTTAACATCGATCATATTCTTAACCGATTCCGTGCGTGGCAGAGATGCAAGGGATTAGCCGATATGGTCTGGGGGCCGGCTAGTCTCTCCCCTGATGCTTCGGCTAGAACATTTTCTTGCGTAATTCGTACACCCAAGGGCAGAAGGATTTAATCGCCGTCAGGTCCGAAGTCCATACGCCGCCTCAGCTCTGCGGATGTCTCGGGGGTATGGCAAAGTGGAATCGTTTTTTTTTTAATATATATATTTCAGTCGCGGTGGGTTTGAACCCCATGTTATCCAGATAAGATTTTTCTTTTTTTTTTTTTTTTTTTTTTTTTTTTTTTTTTTTTTTTTTTTTTTTTTTTTTTTGGCATGCATATTGTTATCAGATATATATTCGAGGAATAATTTTGTTTTTTAATATTTGAACCGGAAAAGGAAGAGTTTTCCAAACGAGTACGCACGATCGTATAAATCCTCCTTATTCAGTGGATAAATTTATTGGATAACCGCATCACTTTATCCACTGGATAAAGATTTACAGCTACGTCAAAAAAGGTTGAATACTGAAACTGCATATATACTGAATAGTGCATTCCAAGAACGAAGTGCATTGTGGGACATAGTGACAATGTCTAAAGTAGGATTGACATGGGCATTGTTCTCGCGCATCCTTCTATGCATGAATTTAGTGAACGCGGGCTCATCGTGATGACGTCATTCCAATGTTTTGATAAGCAAAACCTCATAACACGTCTTTAATCTCTTACAGCTCTAAGTGGAAGTCGGGCACCCCACCTTTTTGAAGTCGCTTTTTGAAAGTAATTTATGATACCTAACTTTAGAGGAAAAATCAAAAGCATCTGACGATGGGATCAAATCAAAATTACACATTTTGCGTATAATTGGAATAGAATTTCGCGTAACGCAAAGGTTTCAATTAAGTCCACACTAAAAGCACAGTAAAAAATATMTCTCATTTTTATTTCAAATTTCAAATGCTAACTTGGCTATTTTCTAATCTTCTGTAAAAAAAGGGGACGATCAACTTATTTTTTCAGTAAAATATTACCAATTTTTGACAGCTTTCTATGTTCACGTTGTTCGCGCGTTTTTACAGTAAAAAGGGTGAACTTCCACGTATTCTGAAGGCTAAACGAAGTCGGGGACCCCCATTTTTTATTTGGTTATTTTACTTCTAGTATGATGTTCTTTCATTGTGCAAAATTCAAAAAAATTTGACGATGGAATCTTTTGCCCATGAACGTCCTTAATTTAAGCTTATTTATGGCGTTATTTTTCTTGCTGATAGCCGCCTAAAAGTGATAGGAAACTATAGTTAGTATGTTATTTAACTATGATGAAACCTTATTTGCCGTGCAGTTTTTCCAATTTTTTTTTTCTTTTCAATTTCTTGATGCCATGAAATGTCAACTGTCTGATTAAGCGCCCCCTCTCTCCCACAAAAAAGAAAAAAACTAAGGTCCAAAATGCAGGACATTTAGATCAATACCAGAAAGCATTTGATACTATGATATCCATTTCCATTTTTTTTCCTGGGAAATAGCATGAAGTGAAAGGTGTCAATATTTGGTCAATACTTGCACCTAGGGTCTTAAAGCAACACAGCTATTCCGAGCGTTTTTCTCCTCAGCAAGTGGAGATGGCATTACATGATTCTTTGACGTGTCTTGGATTTCAGAGCACAGTTCAGGTGTCGCTGTAGCAGATTTCTCAGTGTTGATTGGTTCAAACTTTGTGACATTTAACGAGGTCAGACCTGTCGTTGTCCTTTGCATGTTATGGTTTGTTAATTGTGCTCTAGCATACTCTAGAGTGTTTTGCTCTGGATGGAAGAATATGATATACAATTTGGGGAAAAAGATACAGATGAGTAAACCATAAGAGCTTAGTAGGGTGGACGCGTTTGAGACTATTGCAACGTACCAGCCATCAAGCGCAAAGTCAACAGGATAGTACACGACCCAGGATAAAATGATAATGTACAGCGAGAAAACAATACAGCGACCTTCGTTATAGTTTTCGGGGATTTTTCTAGCTTTGAAAGAATAGGTGGTTGAGATAATAATGAGTATGAGAAGATAAAATAGCATGGTTAAGTGTAATCCCCTTCCTATACTACTCCGGTAGGGTAAACATCCTAAGATAATAGATTCTCCTGGTCTAATATTCTCCTCTACAACCGGAGGATCCATAACAATCGAGCATATTGACAGTATAAATTGTACAGTGTTGACCAAAATGACCCCACAAATAGAAGATTTTCCTTGTATCAATTTCTTGACAATTGTCGAATTGCGCCTTTGAAGTTTCGTCTGAAAAGCGTATAGAATCCGGGCAGTTTTGAGAAACAAAACAGTCACGCAAATGCTATACATAAGGTAGCGTAAAGGCGACAGTATGACGCAAAGGACAGGTGTTGGAACATCCAAATATAGAATAGCCAGTACAAAAAAGATTGCTATCGCTGCAATGAGGACAGTCGAAAGTTCTCGGTTTGATGCTTTTATGATTGGAGTGTTCCAGCTGCGTAGAAAAACGACAAAAGATCCGATGGACAGTAAGAGGCCGAATGCGGACATTGAAAGCAAAACAACAGCGACCGAGCTTGACCAAGTAAAATTACCAAAAGGAAGGGCGATGCATTCAGTTCTGTTTTCATTGGGTTTTTGTTTTTTCTCGCATTTTGTGCAGTTTTCTGAGTTTGCCTTGTAGCTTACAGCGTCTTCACAGGCAATGCACTTCCAACAGCACCGTGACGTCATAATGCGTTTGGTTCCGGGGAGACATGCATTGCTGCATATGGATACCGGGGGAGTATTGGCATCAGTGCTTTTTTTATTCCATCTGATAATTTTCCTGTCAATGTCCAAGGTTTTACTTTTGTTGTCTTTCCATGTGCCAACCACCTTTTTATCGTAGCTCAGCTCATTGGCAAAAAAAGTTTTCTTTTTTTGAGCGTTGATGATGTTGTACCACGAAAATAACGGATTGCCAACACTATCAAACCTGGTAGTTCCACTTAAACCTAGAAAATTAACGCTTTTCAAAAAGCGTGTCACTGTTAAGGGTTCTACATGATTATTAAATTTGGGGCATGAGCCAACTTGAGAAGAGGTTCCATTTGTACAGCCGTATGCTGCATGTAAAGCATGCGCAACGGCATAAACAGAATCAACTAATTTGGCACTAAACGCACTGTACATATGATCAAAAGTTTTATTCGACATGGTTTGATTTTCATGAATATGGCATGGCCTGTTGGAATTGTTGGCGAAGGAGCAAGTAAATTCAAGTTCCCAAAGCTCATTCCACATTTTGCTTTCCCGTGTAGTCCGTGGCGTCGCTTGCCTCATGAAAGTGCTAAAATCCTTGTAAGCTTCATGGTATGGAATTGTACCTAAGCAACCATCTAAAACACTTGTGTACTCTTCGAAAAACAATATCTCGTTCGTAGCAAGTGAATCACTAAGTAAATAAGTTTTTCCTTCTAACTTTTGCCTCATGGCTTCATCAAGGAATCTTTTCGATGGCTCTTCAGTTCCCCACAGAATAATCACTTTGATATTTTTCTCTTTCYTCAATCTGGTAACAATGTCCCTTATTCTGTTTTGATATCCAGTAGGAGTGAAGTATTCTGTAAATGCAATACAAAAGGTGGATCTCTCATCAGCTTCGTCTGCCAAGCCCCTAATACCATATCTTCCATAAGAATCATCTACCGCCACAGCTGCAACATATTTCCATTTGAAAAAGTCCACAAGATCAGCCAGTGCTTTTGCCTGATTAACATCCGGAGGAATCGTTCTGAAGAAATTACTGAACATTGGGTCGCTCAGTTCTTCACTCGAGGCGGCAAAGCTTATCAGAGGAACATTCTTGACATGAAGTAAACCTACGATCTTCAAGGCTGTACTTGAGTCTTGCGGACCAACCACTGCAGCTACGCGGTTTCGAGGAACGCCGCTGACAAAGTCATAAGCAGCTTTAACTGCCAATAGAGGATGGTTGCAATAATCTCTTATATCGTAACCCAATGTTATATTAGGTAGCAGATTGGTATCTTTGTTGATTTTGTCGATGGCGTAAGCGAAAACTTGAGCAAAGCCAAAACCTTGGCGGTCAAATTGTTCGCAAATTGCGCCATTATTGGGTTGATTGTTGAAGTGTATTTTCAGCAAAGCACCTATGATAATATTACCATCTTGAAAATGCCTTGTAGCGTTCGACAGATCTTGAACTTTCGATGTTGTCTCTCTTGTGTAGGATAAAACTAAAGTAACTAGAAATGCTTTTACCAACATCATTGATGATTGATTGCTGCTTTGTCTAAGTAAAGTCTTCTAGTATTTGTTCGTGATTTTGGCGCCGTATTTAGTGCAGTATCTTTGATGAATTGCGCTTTCTAGAATCAATGGAGATATGGCCCAGCTCCGTCGTTGAATCAAGTGAACTTATTTTCGGGCTTTCTTATCACAGCTCATTTGGATGACTTAAATGACGCCTTTAGTTTGTCAGCCAAACGCCTACTCTTAATGATTTTCAGCAGTTAATGAGTTTCTTATGCTAATTTATAATCCAATAGCACCTTGATCTTGTTTAAAGAAATAGGAGCATTCATTTATCATTATTCTGCTCTCGTGGACAGCTTTTTCCTGCTTAAAGCTAAGGTTTTAATTCGATAAATGTGCTGTCATATATGCTAGGGCTGGCGATAGTGTTATTGTCATCAGCACCAAGACTTGCTCAAATTAATAAACCTGTTTAAAAATAGAAAAGAAAAGACAAACACAAGATGAGTTTAAAGATGGTGATTTTCATTTGCTATTTAAGTGGATTTTATCATACTTAAGCCCAATGCTGCTTATCCTGTCAAAATATTTTCAAATTATAACTGAATCCTATTTCAAAAACTGAAAGGGTATCGAATGACTAACAATTGATTTTCTGTATAATGAGAAATGCCGGGTATAGCTCGAGTAGTGGCGATACATCGTGGCAATAAAGGTCTTATTTAATGCCAGTGTTCCTTCAGTTAGTACCTATAGTCATCCAGGAAATGACGGTGCGCACTTCACCCTTCTCTCTCCATTAGTGCTTTTTAAGAGTATGGAGATCCTGAGGATCGAATGAACCTCGAGTGAATCGCACGAAACTCTATTTCCTAAGGCTGGGCARTGACATGTTTATTTAATAAATGGCAGCGTAAATCTCTCTTGGAATAATTTCCTTTTTTCTTGAATTTCAACTTGTAAGAAGAGCCATTTTTCGGAGCTCTTTCGAAATAGAAATAAACATTCAATTATATATAACCTCGTAGGATTTAATTTGAATAAAGAGGGATTGAAACAAAAGAAAAGGATGGATGGATGGACGGACGGACGGACGGACGGACGGACGGACGGACGGACGGACGGACGGACGGACGGACGGACGGACGGATGGATAAATGGATGGATGGGTGGTGGGTGGATGGACGGACGGACGGACGGACGGACGGA